CATCATCATCATCATCCTCCTCCTCCTCCTCCTCCTCCTCCTCATCCTCCTTATCCTCCTCTTCCTCTGCAGACTCCTTTGATTTGTCAGAGCGCTCCTCCTCTTTCTCTGACGGTTTGTCCTCTGTCTCTGATCCCTCAGCCTCAGCCGACGCCACCGCCTTCTCGTCTTCCTCGTCGTCGTCTTCGTCGCTGCTGGAGTCCATGACGATGGCTTTGGATTTGCTTCCCGTTTTGGACTTCTTGGGACTGGACGACGTGCTCCGGGGTTTGGGTTTGCTCTTCTTCTTGGTCTTGGCCGTCGAGTTGTCGCCCGACAGTTTCTTCTTGGATTTCCTCTTTTTCTTCACAGGCAGACGCTGACGAAGGACAAACACTTCATTAAAACGTACAAGATTTATTTTGTACGTTTTAACGCCCTTCATGTTATTACTTTATGAGATTCTGTACAGTCGAGGGACCGTAGGGAGTCTCTGTTTGTGTACCGTCTACAATCTACTCAGAGGGACAAACTAATATTAACCTACGACCGATTCTTTATTAGAAATGTGATTATTTTATTATTAGAAGTTCTTAGAGCCACAGAGCTCGCTGCTCACCTTCCCGCTGTTCTTCGGTGCGATGAGGAAATTCATGATCCTGTCGACCAGATCTGACTGGGTTCCCTTCTTCTCTAGATCCAAAACACCACAGACCACTTTCAGTATGGAGTTGGTAAAATGTGAGTTCCTGCATTCAGAGAGACAAAGAAAAGAAGTAACTGACAAACTGTACATTTCCTTTGTGTTTAAATCTGAACTCGTTGCTCTCATTATGTTTTATCTGCAACTATAATTTATCATTTCACGCAGAGCCGAAGAGCGAGTGAGAGGAATACATCTGTAGAGCGTTTTCACATCCACCTGCGGCAAATTAAAGGTTTATTTCAATGACGAATACAATTACAAGGTGATTCACAGAGGTACTGACTCCGGAGAAGACGAGGACACAGCACGGCCAGGAGAGGAGCGAGGAAGGTCGGGGAGCGTCAGAGAGGCAGCGACAGTGTGTGGAGGCAGAATATTTTCTGTCAGACGGTTAAACACCAGAGATGGTTGATTGTTGGAACAGTGGGAAGACTAATAAAGTTAAAATAATGAGTTTTATTTTGTTTCTGTCGCTTAACGAGAGAGAAACTCAGAATCAGAGGACGAAGACGCTATAACCCAGTTAGCTGTGAAGTTATCTGCTGTAAAACTGGTTCATTAAGATCTGAACTGAAGTAAAACTGTGAGTTTAATTACAGGTTGAGTGCAGAAATAGTTTAAAGGAAGACGATGAAATCAGGAAGAATAATAATGATTGATGAATAATGAGCGAATAAAGTCCAGTAAGTTTAATGAAAACCTGTTTAAAGCTCTGCAGTTTCTTCCCGTTCTTCCTCTCTGATGAAGAGGTAAAAGCGTAACTGCACAGAAACTTACTTGAGAAGTTTTTCTCGTTTTTTGGCGTACTGTTCGCTGTCCGCGTCGAAGGGAAAGCCGTTAAACAGTCGCAGGTTCTTCTTTAATGTGGCCATCTGATAAAAGAACAAACATCACGTTATAAATATAAAAATACAGCGTCGATCATTAAACTCCGACCGACTGAACCGACAGACGTTTGTACCTTTCCCGGTCTGTCGAACAGGATGATGTGCAGAGGTTTCAGGTCAGCTGGCTTCATCTTGGAGATCTGGTAGCCGGTGCGAGGAATGTCTCCTAATTTATCTCCACTACCTGGAAACATGGGAATAAACACGCCCAGTTATTCACAAACATATCAGCTTACGACTGAATAACTGGATTTACAAATATTAATATTAGGAATGTACAATAACCGACGAATTATTGGCTGTAATACCGATAAAGTTTCATTTCTTATACAAAACGACTGATAGGCTTTTCTAGAAAAACTAAATGAACATCGGAAGAGGAACTGTTTGTTGTTGTTGTTGTTGTTGTTGTGTTAACAATAATGATGTCAGTTGGATTACGGGATATTAAATCTTTGCCTTTCTTACCATCAGGCGCACCCAAACTACAAGTTATGAACTTCTTTTTCCTTTTTAAGTCGATTATGAACTCAGTTTAAGATCTATTTCACGTCCACATTGTTCCAACCTGAATACAGAACAATACTGACTTTACTGCTTTATGTTTTCCTGTACGACTCTAACGCCTTTACACCCAAAGTTCCTGTTCTGAGCATTTTCTTGCTGCAGTCCTCAACCAAGCACTAAATGTGCTGAACCTGCAGGTACCCGTACTGAAGTAGAACAACACGAACAGAAACTATTTTAACTTATTACTTCTAGAAGTTGCTGTTTATCCAATGAGGAGACGCAGTTCTTATTGGTTTCATGTCGGTTGTTGGTCAACTTCACAAAAGGAACAAAAATCAATTTAAGACCAGATTTAATTTTATTTTAGACATTTTCATTCCATAAATTCAGATTCTCTGATATAAAGACTTTTTAACAACCTGCAGAAACCTGTAAACAACCACAGTTGTGCCTGTCACACTTTAAATATTCACCATCTCCGATCTTCAGCTTCTCCTTTTGTTTCGGCGCCTGGAAATCGAGCCTGACGACCGTCTTCTTCGCCCGCTTGCCCTCGAGGATTTCACCTGCAGCTGCAACAACAGGGTGAGAATAAAGCAGCAATTCAAAGCCGAGGAAGCCGACAGCCGCCTGCGTGAAGGTTTGAAAGCATGTTAACGAGTCCTCGCCGTCAAACAGATTCACTAAGTGTGTCAGCGTCAGGTGATTTCTCTTTACCAGATGTTTTGGAGAGGCTTTTGTTGGGACTCGACTGCTCTTTCTGTGACGGTTTTCTTTTCTCCTCCACCTCTTCGTCGGACACTGCAGAGCTGTCCATCGCTTCCTCCGCCACGTCGCTCATATCTGCACAGCCTCGGTCTGTCAGCTGATCCTAACGGGAGGAAGAGGAACACGTTCACAGAGCCTCTCGTCCAGCTGTGAACAGATCTTATTGATAACGCTGAAATAATCCATCATTTCTGTGAATGTGTATTCTCTTTCAGCGTGAGAGAGCTTCACTTTTATTTAAACATCAGTAACCTGATTGGTTCAAATGTTCAAAAGTCCATTTAGAAATCAGACAATTTAATAAAAAACGTTTTGTACAAAGACTGATTAGTGATGTCTTCTTCACTCAAAGTCTCCTTATTATAATAATTATAATAATAATAATAATTATAATAATAAAATAATACAATAACCTTTAAGCAATATATAAAAATACATCACATTACTACATCAAAAAAACTAATACCTCACCTATACATTACACAAATAATAATCACATAATAATACAAATACATACATACACATTACAATAATAAAATAACTCCATAATAACTACAAAATCAATAATCTATAATAAAAAACCAAAATTATAATCAACAAACAATAATAATAACTACATAATCAAATAATAATAACTACACAATAAAAAATAACATAATCTAATAAATAAACGCAATACAATATCTTCAAATACTACAACTCACTCACAAATAATAATTATTCCATCATCAATAAACACCATCAATAACTACCAAAAAAAACATAACCAAACTCTATCCAATGTACCTCCACCATAAACTACACAAACAATACACCTCACCTAATAACAACTCAATAAACTCTATACTAATGCAATCAATCAAATACAAAACTAATTCATCAACACTACGTGCATAAACTAAATCCCAATCATTACAACTTACATAATAATCAAAAACTAACCATCAACAATAAACATAACTCAATAATCAATTCTAAACTGTTTCTTAAACGTGTTAACATATACACAACAGCATAAAGCTACATCAACCACCCGTCGATCACCAAAATTGTAAAGATACATACACAACACTACCAAGAGCTGAACTAAAAGCCTTAACTAAACCAGACGACCGTGCAAAAATGCCCTCTTTCCTCAGCAGCACATCACACGATAGAAATTTCCGTTAGTTCTATGCCACCCTTTAATGCACTTAATACGTAACACGCCCCACAACCTAACAGCCAGCTCCTATAATCTCATTAAATCTACATAATTCACATACTGCTGCACTCTACGTTTCACGACCTACCTCCCCGCCAGTTACCATCCGTTACCAAGACCAGCAGGATTCCGCTAACCGCAGTCTGGCGCCAGGAACACTTATTCGCGCGACGAACTTCACATCTCGCGCCGAACATTGGTGACCCTGCTGCCGGCGACTGAGCCCGCCAAACAGGCCTCCGGCGACACAACTCCCGCTCTGCGTAGCCGCCTCTGGGCCTCCGTCCCGGCCTGTGTCCGGTCGGATGTCCCCGCTGTTCGCTTCTTATGGACCTCAAAACACAACCCGGCGGCCGTCAGTGTCTGTTAGCATCCCAGAGCTTAAGCCACCGCGCCTGCTTAACGCCGACGTAGTTCACTCACAGCGGATTACAACACCGCGACACGCAGGCCGTCTACAACACCGCGCAAAAACGACAGATTTACACTGTGTCGCGTCTCACAGTAACGCATCCACACGCCCGCCTCTAACCACGGGCAGCAGATTTTACCCGGTTTTACCCGTCATGAAAGCCAGAATTGCTCCCCCCGCGCCGTCCACTAACTCTTCCCCTTTCCTCTTACACCATCTGACGCCGTCCCACGCGGCGCCGCGCGCGGCTACGGCGCCGCTCCCTGATGGACAGAGCGCTGATGAACGTCATCACTTCTCTCGTCCGTTGTGAGCGCTGACTGCAGCCGCGCTCTCGCTGCGCTACGCCCTGGCGCTTTCACGGCCTCTAACACAGGCAACTTAACACCTTCTTAATAATAGCTCAACTAATATATAATAAAATAAATAACAACCAAAACTAAAAAACTAATAATCAATAATCCATTAATCATCACAAAATTAGTAACCTGAACAATATAATATAAATAATCAATCCTCTACATATACAATCATACATAAGAATAATGATAAATAATAACATAATAATAAATTATCATACTTAGTAACTGAATAATGAACACACAAAATGATAAAATACATACTCACATAATCAAACAATCCAAAAACAACAGTCACTATAATAAATTTCCAGTCACAAGTCAACTTTTTTACATAAATTCCATACTACTAACAAAATCTGAACAAAAATAAGAAACCATACATAATACAATATATCACTGAAACCAACACTGTCACACAATGAAACTCACTTTTCCTATCTGCATCATCACGATGAAATATACCATCCAAGTCTGCTTAGTCTG